ATTTTTGTGCAACAATTACATGTACATGTATGCTAAAATATCTATAATAAAACGAATCATATTTCAACCTTAAGATGAGAATTTCGACATTAACACAAATAATTGTAAATTCACACAATTGAGAAGAAATTAAAAAAAAATAAATTACAGTCTCCATTTCATACTTATCCATTTAATTATTGTCATTTTTTTTTTTTATAAATAAACAAATTTTGTAAAATTACCACAGAGATCTCACGTTTTTTTTATTATAATAATTAAATGTACTTAATAATTTAGATTTGAAGCTCTGCAAGAATTTAAATTAAAACATTGCAGTAAGTAAACAAAATAATCTTTTCGTCTTGTCAGAACACGTTCCACATTTTGAAACAATCCTATCAGGTTTTGCGTTTATCCTATCGTGAAGATCGTTTATCAGGTCTATCGTGTTTTGCGTTTATCGTGTTTTGCGTGTATTGTGTTTTGCGTTTATCGTGTTTAGCGTTTATCCTATCGTGCGTGTATCCTGTCGTATCGTGCGTGTATCCTATCGTATCGTGCGTGTATCCTATCGTATCGTGCGTGTATCCTATCGTATCGTGTATCCTGTAAAGAATAACGATGCGGGTACTGTACATAGACAGTGGAAAAACAGAACAAAACCCCACAAGAATATGTGTCAAAACTCGACAGAAACGTCAGAGACAAAATATTGTACTACCCCTTTGACATGTGCCTTAAAAATCTGCCTTTCATTTCAATCTGTAACATGAAGAAATGCTGTTTTAGATCACACTCTTTTCAGCAGCAGTAAGGGTCACTCCTGAACAAATTTTCAAACAACTGGCCAGTAGGAATCCACAAATTGTGTGTAGTCTTGGATATGGCATTCGTGGAATACTGAGATCAAGTGACACCATTTGTCCTTGAGGAAAAAGCCCTCAATTTAAAAATAAAGACTTAAAAAAAAAAATTGGAGTCAGGGAAAAAAATTTAAAGAGTTTGACTCTTCTTTTTTGAATAAATGAAAATGCACTTGGATGGTACATTTTGGTTTCAAAAACCCGGGCATCTCGCCTGGATCATTATGGTTTCATAGTATAGAAAGTGCCTGCTTTTCCCGCAAGTAATTAGTCCAAATTCAATTAATTGGTCTGATATAAGTTTAATCTAAGATAAATTTTGATTACATGGAGAAACTAGCTTACAAGTGTCTATTATGCATGAACATCAATTTATAAAACTTGAAATTTACAGGTCAGGTGGGTGCAATGAATGGTTTTTAGCTCATTGTATTAATACAATGAACTAAAAACCATTCATATATATATACACCTTGCGCGTTAGTGGCGGGTGAACTTGTATAGACAAGTTCATTTGGCAGAGTTTGGCGATTACCACGAATGGGGATTTCTACCATGTCTGGATCAAAACTCTGGGTAATCTATCCTCAGTACTGGGGACGATTTTGGGGTTACCTCACCGGTACCTCACAGGGACCAGCTTGATCCTTGTGGTACCAAGGGCAGGCTTTTGGGGTCTACCCCTGGGGGTATTATCCCCATGTTGTTGTGGTATTTCAGGGGAAGCAGGTATAGAGTTAGGGCCTGAGTCAGAACTTGAATTCATTCATTCCATGTGGCATTCACTCTTGTTGGTACCAAGAGGTCTGTTCCCACCACAGTCACCTGTGGGGGCGCTATCGCGCCAGGTCAGTGGGGAGGTCATCCCGGTAGGCATGTAGTGATTCCCTGGATTCCGCCGGGGTATTTACATCTATGTATAAATAGATTGTAACAAGTACTTGCCACAAAATGTAATCATTGTTTTACAATAAATGTGATTAAATTCAATATCTGTTTCTATTCATTCGATTACATCTGGGATTAACTTATTATAATAATTTAATTGATAAGACTGATCGTACACTAGCATGTATATGCCCACAAGTATCATATAATTATGCAATATGCAAATTATATCGGAATTTTGTATTCGAAAAAAGAGAAAATTAAAATCCGTCCAATCCTAAACACAAGATCTGTGAAGCTGATGATATGCCTGAATTTCTGATTAATATCTTGGTTTTTTTTAGGCAGTGTCTTTCAACAAAATATCCGAATTTCTTTTGGTATACCAATGGCGTCCCGTTACTAACGTATTAATTTTTGTATTAAAATGAAACAGAATTTGTTCTAAATGAATATATGAAATGATAAAAAGCCATCAAGATATATACTGACAATGTAGTTAGCAAAATTTACTTCCATTGATTTGTCGACACACGGAATTGATAGAGACACAAGGAATTATTTCCTAGTCAAGTTTAACACAGAGGCATTTATGATTTAGAATCTGTTTCAATTAAGGAATCAGTATTGACTTTGTTGGGTATTTCACAGTATCAACGATATTTACGCAAGGGTATCAACGATGGTTAGAAATGAGGGATAACTTGAAAGCCCATTATGCATGAGTTGTCCCACGTTTCCATCCATCGTTGATGTCCCTGAAATACCCACTAAATTAAATAGTGATTCCCTATATTTACATTTGATTGTGAAATAAAAATATGAATATAGATTTTAAAATGTTATTCAACTACAGGTACTGTGAGCAATGAGCTCACTAAATGATACCCCCCCCCCGCCTCCCACATCGTCATAATGGCGAAGTCCATGTTTTGCTGTGGCCGGGAAACCCAAAATATGCGTAGGATCAAAAAGTAAAATAGGAGGTGCACAATGGCATTATGTAATAAAGATTCTGCGGAAGTTTCATTAAATTTCAGTCAGTGGTATAAGAGTAGTTGCGGATAAGAAAAGGGTACCCCAAAGCGCAACAGACGGACGGACATACTGACTACAGTATACCTTCCCACTTTTCAACCGGGGGGGGGGGGTATGATAAATTTAAATCCATTGTACACTGAAGTTATACATATGGAGTATCTGTGTACATTGTTCTAATTTACAAAGTCCCATATTCTATCGTGAAAAAAAATTGTTTAAATTAAATATCCTATCGTTCATCCGAAGGTACTCGTTTGTTAACAAAACTGTCGGACCGCTTGGAGTTTGAGAATTTGAAGCAAAGCTTTGTTATATTTGTTTACAAAATTAATGTGGTGAAAGAGTTAGGAATGCTCTTTCGTGTATAAATATATAGACATTTTTCCAATTTCTGACCGAGTTCTCCCTCTTGTGATGCTAGTGCTTGTAAGTTTTATTCACAGTTTTAAAAAAATCATTGTTGTTATTGCTAGTTTCTAGTGCATTCATCGACCAGCGTTAATCCTTGTACGCGATCATCTTTAAGAGTAAAGTACCACTTAATATTAACAAGTGGGGAATATTTAAGAGAGCAAAAACAGATAAATGCTACATGGCGGAGTAGTGATTGGACATTTGGCATTTTTTTTTATAACGTAGATCTGGTAAAATCCAAACTTCAAACTAACTTAAGCTTCTCTGGAAAAAAGTCTTTCTAGCACAGCTTCTCATATGCATAAAGTATTATAAAGGAAAACCTCTCTATGTTTTGTATCAGTTGATAATGACTACATACATCTGAAAAGTTTTGATTGCAATTATGATAGATTTGTCACGATATTCCTATACACTCTTAAGTTTTTACATTAGGTGTCTTTTTTAAAAACAAAACAGAGAGAAAAAAATTATTAAATTAACACATTTATTATTTCATCAGTGCAATACATAAAAGAATTATTAAAATTGCCTTGACATACTACTGAGAAATACAATTAAGTATCTCTTATACAAAGTTAATTGCATAATACCCCCGCATCCTCACTATGCCCACAATTATGCATACCAAACGGTGGTTTAGAACATTCCATCAGCGATGATTCTGTTCCACTACAATTGACGTCATCAAGCCAAATCTGACCACTTCCTGCGCCATACTGCGCTGAACTAACTGCTGTTCCCCCGCTAAAATAAAACAGAAAATAGTATTTTTATCCCTCGACATTTTTTAATTTGGAAAATCAAAGTAAGAAATTCATTTTCTTCTGAATTTTTTTTAATCCATTCGTCATACCGCTGAGCATCAGTGTAGACTCTTGATATATTCTAAAATTTAGATCTAGATGTATTTAATATTAAACTCAAGCTAACTTCAACCAAGATTTGATAAAAGTTGTTCAGGTCCTGTTCATATATATCCTGCTCATAATAGAAACACGTCTGCTTATTTCTATGCTTTTAATTCCATACTACATAACTATGCAACTTTACAAACCATGTAGCTTAGGTTGTCAACATCCTTTACTGACTTAATATAAAACATACAGCATTCTGCTGATGGTGCACATGCGATCCTAAAGGTGAGCAACATGACTTTATGACTCTAAACGAGACTGCTTATATTCCTGTTTTATCAACTGTTGTCAATAATTAACATCGTTTTAGAAATTGTTCATAATCAGATCATGCTCTTGCGTATCGAATCAACTGCGATATACAAAATCCATATATGCAGGTGATGAAGGTATAAGAAAGGGAAGTTGACGATAGATAAGTTAAAGTCATCACATTTATCATAAAGCTTAGTTGTTTACCATTTACGTCTTTTTCAAGTAAAATATTAAGTATGAAATATGTGTGTCAGACTGTGCTCTGTGATATATCGTATCGACATGGGAATGGAAATTACTCTTGTTAATTGACAATACCTCGTCGATAAATCTAAATGTCGAGTTGAAGGCCACAACATGTGTTTTCTTCCTTTCACGCATAAGGTTTTGCACAAGTTCTGCTTCATATACAAAATTAAGGTTTCCAAATAAATGAGCGCAACTGGTACCCCTTGGAATTTCAATAGATTGTTTGAAGACCCGGTCTCCTGTCAATCAGAAAGTCGAGATATTTTTATGTCAACTTCAGAGTACTTGTGTGTGCAATCAGAATGACTTTAAACAAAATAATTTTGCGAACGACCAATGACCAAGTAAGTCAATTTACGAGTGCTTTTCTTACTGCAAAAGCAGCTGTCAATAATATTGACTTTAATTTGTAAATTCTTGTGATTTCAAATTGTTCAAAGGTTCTTTGAAATTTTTGAGTATCCCCATCTGATTTGCACCACTTCTTGAATATATTGTTGCACAGTACTCTTGAAGTTTTTCCTTCACAACTGTCAATATCTTAGTGAAAAGTAAAGAAAGAGGCTTGGTTGGACATTTACTGGAACCCGCAATATATCTTTGTTTGTAAGGATTCTTATGAAGTTTCGAAATCCAATACATGCATATATAAGGTAGATCAAATTTATTTTGGTTCCTCAGTATCTTAAAAATATTCAAAACTGAAATAAGATTTTGTAGAATTTCTTCCTTAGAAAGGTAACTATGAGTATAAGTTTTATTACCACTTGTAGAATTAAATCCAAGTTCTTCTGAAATGCAATTTATATAATGAGCCTTACAAACGAAGACAATGTTGTTATTAAATAATAATTAATTAGCAAATAATGCTGATAAAATCAATTGAAATGACCATTGCTTGAAAAGAGGTGGTTATTTTTTGCTTAACATCCTTCTCGATAATTTTTAACTGTGTGGACGCCAACTATTGCCCGGTCGGAGAGCTGCAAATTGTTTACTAATACTAGGCGCTAAGGGCCAGTGTGTAGTGAATTTCATGATCTTTTTCGTGCAAGCCCCAACTGCAACACGCGGGATCTCGATTTATACGATCTAAAGGACTAGCCTCCATACCCTACAATTGGATTCGAGCCCGCGACTTAAAGATCCAATCCTAACGCTAACGCAGATGCTTTACCACTGGACACGCGGACGACTAAAATGATTTTGTACAAATTTTCATAGGTTCAGGTTCGACATTTTGGATGAATAAGGCTATGTAAAATTGATTGATTAATTGATGCTTTTCGTCCATTTCGAGAATTGTTCACTCGTATAAACACGTCGTCAAAAGCTGAAAGGCATCAAATTTAAGCCTTTTTATGGCTACTCAGAACACAAGGTTCTTTATCGTGACAACGCCTATCGTGATACATGGCCTCGGTTTTTAAGGTTTTATAAGAATGACCAGCAGCATTAACTTCAAAATGCTGAGCGCTTGGAACAGCTACTTTTTTTTAGACTTAGATGAGTTTCGGACTCCATTCGAACACTCTAACGACTGAGCTACAGTGACGGCAGGCCTTGTAAGAAATATTACTAGAAAACACATCTACCTGCGACCTAGCATCCTACAAACAACTCGTGCATCATTATCGTCCCAGGCATCGTCACAAACAGTCCCCCATGATCCACCATAGTATACTTCAACTCTCCCGTAGGTAGACCCACCAGCAGTGAATCGTACATGAACTATAAAATAAAAAAAAATATTAAAATATTATACCATAATGTAGTAACTCTTGTTTAATTATTAGCTCTACCAACACATTAAACGCACATGTACAGCTGAGCTACGTCTTAATCTCAGAAATATCGAGAGCCAGGATCATTAGTATTTTTTGACAATGTTTTTAACTTTATTTATTTATTGTTAGATGTATGATAAGTGAAATTAATAGCATAGATAACATATGTTCTTGATAACAGTTTCTTTTTAAAAAATCAATTATGTGCATATAGAAAAAAATTGTTTCAAGAGGGTTTTAAAAAGTGTCAGTTAGATATAAGGTTAAAACTTTTGACTTTCTGTAACATATGAAATAGTAAATGCTACGCCCTACATGTAGTAATGACACCTTACAGCCGCTTACCTATAATCTCGAACATGTTGCAAAGGTTTAGTTTAAGGAAGTATGGGTTTTGAGCAATAGGGGCCAAATTGTGATATGATTTTCTCCTGTACCCCGTACTTCGAAATCGTAAAAAATAAATCGTAATTACAATCTCTTACTCGTGAAATTCTTTAGTTTAATAACCAACTACAATAAATTTAACCGACAAAATTGACGAAAACATTTATGTATACTCACTAAATGATTTCAAACCATTTGAAATAGTATTCAATGATATATTGTAAGATCTCTGTTGTGATTCAATGGCGGTTAGTCTTGAACTGCGATCTGAAGCCAACTGTTGGATATTCTGAAGCGATGTTTGCAAACTCGACACATCTCCGGTAAGAGAATTGATACTGATACTCTGCTGTGCCAAAGTATCCGATTCCAGTAAGCTTATTTTGCTCCTAATGTTTCTAAAGTTTTGGGATATATCATCATCTGCAGATGATATATTTTGAATTGTCTCATTTAATGTTTTTCTTATTTCATTGGTCGTTTCCGTGCAAAACCGCAGTCCGCGTATCGATGATGCCGTAAGGTTGTTTGCAACTTTTAAGAATGTTTCATTCAAATGAAGAGTCAGATTGCTGGTCTCAATTAAATGCATTTCAATTTCTTTAATTTTGTTGTTTGTGAGATCATTTAAGGAAACTTCCAATGTCGATACAATTTTCTGGGATTGATTAAATTTTTCATGTATTTTTGCCTCAAATTGAATCTCAATGTCGTGGAAATTTTTCGACATATTGTCTCTTGCTTCAAATAATGAACCAGAAATATTTCTGACTTTATCTTCTATAAAAGAAACATTTTCTGAAACTCGACTTAATACTTGACTGTTTTTAGCGATATCTTTTGACACTTCAAATGTTTTTGCTTCAATCTCATCAATTCGCTCTCCTATCAATCCATAATGTTGAAGGCTGCTATTTCTGAGTTCATTTTGTAATTCCTTTAATTTACTTTTTGTATCATTGCCAAGCGTTTTCATTGCTGTTGCTAAAGATGTCTCCATATTAGAAATCCTTAACATTGTACCATTTGCTTCTTCTGAATTTGATAGGTGTAATAGATGCAATGTTTCATTGATGCTGTTAATCTTTTCATTGGTAAAAGATGTCATTATACTCTTCAACTGTGATAGTTTCTCTTCATTTTTCATACTTTCATATTTCACTAATTCGCTGATATTCGACTCAAGACCTTCGGTTTTGCTTTTGATAACATTTATTTCTTTCCTTACAAAATCTTTGTATCCACTTTTTTCGTTGCTTATATTTTCTTTGAGATTTGAAATTTTTTGATCAACCCGAGACATTTCATTTTGTATACTCCCAATTAAAGAATGTTGACGTTTTTCACAGTTCTCCTCCATTATGGAGTCAATAGAAGATAATTTACTTAACATCACATCCTTCATTTGACTGAACATTTCATAATCACGGTGCATTCTATTATCTGTGCCTGCCAATTTGTCATCGTAAAGCAACTGCTGTGTGCTCCTAGGTATTGCACCAGTAATGACAACAAATGATAATAAAATCCTATCCATTCTAAATTTTCTTTAGGAAATATACAAGAAAAGAAATGTCTTAGATTTTTCTCCTTCGAAGTGAATTTCCTTTCAGTATTCAAAGCAAATCACATGGGTAAGTTGAACAATATCTTAACTTTAGGATGATGATGTTAAGATTTTTATCCTTGGCTTTTATAGATATGAAACTTCTGTAATTCAATATGGCACTTACTTGGTTTAGGAAAGCTTTTACACTGTAGATCTTTTCCACGATCTCATCCTCCTTCGTTATTACATATACTTCAGTTTAATGATACACTTTCACTTTCCATCAACGAGCTTATTTAGTAGCTCTCTTCACAGAATAGAACTTCCTGCTTGTCTACAGAGAAATACTTGTAACAAGCCACCTAACCAGTACAAAGGTTACTAACGAATTATAACATATTTTTTAATTCATCATTGACAATTTAAGTAATCTTATAAACAACACTTTTTATGAGAAGTGAAAAGAATATATAACATTTATCAATAACGTTGATTTGATTAAGTTGTGATTTGATTCTGAGAGTAAACTCCTACTTAAATGTACATTTGCATTTGATCTTTGACTTAATGCGTATAAATATGCATTCTCCTTTGAGATAACAAGTTGTCATTCGATTTTGATAGATATATTTTATTGCACAAAGGATATAAATTGTAATGATTATTCTATAAAATCAATTGCTCAAAAATACTGATCTGGGATCTCAAGTGTGGGAAGGTTGTTGTACAACTGTGGATAATGAAATCATCAAGATTGTCCGGTAGGCATTACTAGAATTGAAAGCATTAATTAAACATTTCACTTCTCGTATCCAGCTCCTATTTAACACGGCTGGGTGGTTTTGGCCATTTTAAGACTATATTGGTTCCCTTAATAGAAGAGCTTATAGACTTTATTTATAAATTAAAATGTATGATTTTCTTTCTTTTCCTAATGATAATTGACAGCAAAAGATATCATACATGCACATGCAAAAATAATTTAGTATCTGACGGTTTATTTGTTGACACATCCCCCCGCTTTCTTTTAAAAAAAGTTCAGATTACGTAATTTATTTCAATGTCTAATTCAAATCCCATATCATTTAAAAAAATATTTGTTGACTTATCGCACATGTTCAATCGTTTGTCATTATTTGTCAAATTCCTTAATTTATTTGAATACTTAAAATTTGATGACGAAGAACAATAATTTTTTAGACTTTTATAAAGCAGGAGGGTTGTTCGAAAAGTGCGTGGTCTTCTGTTATATCTTTTTATTTGACGTCATGAGTAATCAAAATTTAATAGAAATATTCCAACAATAAATCCAAAACACTATTTTTTTTTAGATATCATGATTTATTTAAAACTTACCCAGATTTTAGTCCGAAATATCTGAAGTTTTCCAGGCCTTTTTACGATTTTGATATTTTACATGCCAGGAAACCGTCAGAACCGGTGCCAATACGAAAACTGGAAAATTGCCGCCTCCAACCAGAGGCGGCATCCTCGGGTTGATTTTAGATACTTGCGAATCGAATTAAATTTCAAAGTCAGATGTTATCAATAGTACAACACCTTAAGTATTTACTTATATCGTTTTTATGGTTCAGTTATAAAATAGCAATCCGATTAAAACATTTTATCAGAGTATCGAGATTTGTCTTCATTTCGTGCATTTAAAAATCTTGCAAGCACTGGAACGGAATGTGGAGTGATATTTTCTTTTCATCGATTTGGTGAGTACTAGAGGCATTGTGCTATTAATAAATTCTGATTTCGGCATTTAGTTCGGTTCGCAAGTATAAAAAATGAACTCTGTTTGAAACGGCAACATTTCCAGTTTTCGTAATGGCGCCGGTTCTGACGTTTTCCTGGCATGTAAAATATCAAAATCATAAAAAGGCCTGGAAAACGTCAGATATTTCGGACTAACCCAGATTTTAAAAATGCAAAAATCGGATCGCGGAGCAAGTCAAACAACCTTCATTTGAAAGATTGAGAGATTCAAATTCAGAATTGTCACATAAATTCGTCTTCAAAACTATTGTTTGATATTTTGCTTTGTTGAAAAGAAATTTACTTGAGAATATAGGTAGTAATCATGGAAAACGACAAAAACGATGACATTTAAGAACGTCGCGGTGCAGTAGATAACGATGCAATTTTGTGTTTTACTCAGCAAAAATCCTGAATAAACCTTAAAAGAATGTTGGAAGAATGAAAAAATATGTCACACGCGAGTTGTGCATATAGGTACAAATAGTATAGGCAGTATTTAAATAACAGATACTCTGTATTAGATGAGGACAATCTATAGGGATATTTTTTAGAAATAATTATTGACACTATGTTTGACATTACTTGCCGTTAAGTGTGTTCCATAGGTACAAAACATGCATGTTGATTTTAAAAATAAGTAAATTGATTTCTGTTAAATTGAATAGAATGTAACTGCACACATAAACACAACAAATACGAGGGACGTTCAATAATTTTCAAAGAATAATGTCATTGGGGCTCGGAAAGAAACCAAAAAAAAGTTTTTCTATGATTTAGTCTTAATGATTAAACTAAAATAATCTTTTTTAATTAAAACACATGTCTGTAACATTTTCATTCAATTTCTAATTGTTTTTAGAACACATTTTAGAGTTTCCTTCGTATACTGGAATATGGCAGATCCTATGATTTGCTGTACTTGTTTTTTTTTTTCTTTCTGAGAGATGATTTTCTAAGTTTGAGTATTTGAGTATTTGACCTTTGAGTTTTTAACTTTTTTACTATCAAATGTTTCTTTAAAACCGTGTGAACTACTCAAAATGATTTTTATTAATTTTGCTATGTCTCTTAAAGTCAATAAAACATAATCAGTGATAATTTGTTTTATTTTCGCAAATTTACATCGGTTGTTGTAAGTCATTGTTGTCAAGGACGGTATCCATTTTTGATGCCCATCATATAATTTTTGTTTATTGAAATCTACTTGTTTACGTGTCTATAAAACAGACATATGTTGCTGTAAATTTCACATATTTCAATTTATATATTTTTTGGATATTAACAAGTTTTACAGCTGCTTTAATGAAGCTTTTAATTTTACTCTAGTTTACTGAATATTGACCATTCATTTTTCATGGAGTGTCTCGAATAGCCATTGTTTTCCAGCTTCCCACAATGAAATAATGCGATAAGAAGTGGTCACATAAACTGTTTCAATTCATTAAAGATTCAATAGTGAGAGAAAATCAAGCTTAATGTCATATGACTTTTATTTTGTATGTCATCGGGCTAATGACATTATTTATTGAATGTCCCTCGTATTTTTATATATTATATTTGTGCTTATTTTAAATTTCTAGTGAGTAATATAACGAAGATTGACATCGATCAGGAACTTTCAAACAACCCTCGTACAAGTTTTTATCACCGCTTTTTTTTTTTTAGATATTTAGTCAAAAAAATTGAAAATCTCGACATCAATTATTCATAATTGATAAGTTCTGAAACGGATTCATAGCCAGACTAGCATAATCTTTTTCCCCATGCTTACACTGTATCATAAAAAATATTTAAAAAAAAACTCTTTTTGGTGATATGATGGAAAGTCGTATAAAAACCATTCGGTGTCAAGTCCTCATTGCTTATTATTATAAACTCTGAATGTCACTGTTTAAGGGAGAAATTAACATGATGAATTCAAAGCCTCATTACATGTATTAAGTATAATAAATGTATTATGCTCTTCAGTAGTCAGTGACAAAAAGTGTTAACATATTACATTAATGATTGTTATTAATAATAATTCTCATTAAAAACGTTTGCTATGTAAATAAATGCTATCTTAATAACATATGTAATTTCACTGTAAATGCAAAATTTAAAGGAAAAGCTGAATAAATAATAAAACTCCAGTGTGTGTTTTTATTGAATAAGAATAAAAGTTGTAGCACTTTTCATGAATACAGGTTGAAATCGTTTCATCAGATATTGATGATGTCCCCATATTTTTGAACCGTTCTAGAATAGACATTTGAAACAAAGTTGCACATATCTTAGAAATTTGTAGTGATAATATGTCAATATATTATGTTTAATTATTTATATTACATGTATCAAGCGCATGTTGTTGATTTTCTTCTGAAGTTTCTCTTTTACGTCAATGCATTTAAAATTATTTTTCATTTCACTGTTCCTCTGTAATTCTTAGTTTATGTTTTACTTTTCCTTAATACGTTATGTCACATATAATTATCTAAATACTTAAACATGAACATAACACATCAGCAGATTGCGTGAGGCTTTTAAGACCATTGTCGTGAATTTTAAAGAATTTTGCATTTTTCGTTTATTTAACAAGAATATAATATTTAATATGCATGTACCTTAATGCAAGCAATGTAACCATCTGTTGAAATATTGGTTTACATTTTTGTAAGACAGAAAGAGACCTTAACAAGACCTACATAAAATCAAGTTCTATTCTTTAAAAGTAGAGCTATTACATGTAAATGTAACCTGTGCATCTCTTCTGAATTACGCTGCCATTTCAATTGTTTGTTTTTCATCTGTTTTGAAAGTATTTTGTACATAAGAAAAATATCCAATCATTTTTATGAAATGTGCATTAAATTTCAAAATATCAAATGTAAAGATAATTTAATATTACCCACTCTTTCAATTATTTTATTACTAATTATTTTCACTTATGCGAAGGCCCTCTGGCTGATTGATACAGGATGTGATATGGAAAAGGGTATGTATTATTCTCTATATTACCCACTCTTCAATTATATTTATTTTCACTCATGCATTTATATTATCTTTAAAAATTTTATCTTCATACATGTATGTACTTGTTCTTTTTTAAGTTTCAAAACATTTATTAAATCATTTAATTTAAAATTTTAATTTCATGATGATAATTAAAATTTACATGTAACAATTACTGCTATTGGCAAATATTTTTGACTATTTTCTATTTCTGTTTGAGAACAAAATATGTTCACCATGATAATAAACTTTCAGAAAAATTTCAGTTTCTGTAGATACATTTTCATGGAATTTTACATAATACCTTACGTCTCCGCAATGGCGCCATGGTGAGAGTCGCAAAGTAAGAATTTTAGTCCTTATGTCGAGGGATTAACCCCCATTGCAGGTCTGGAGGACCAGTCATTTGGTTAAAACCGAGGTCCCGTGTCGCAGTAAGTACTGGCGCAAAATAAATTCGTCACTGGGTGCCTCCAGAACAGTGAAAACATTTCCAGACGGACGTTTTACATTATGAAAAAAAAAAAACAACCAATACTTACATGTTTGTTATCTTTGTAGTTTTAATATCTTTTTTAATCAATTCCACAAAGTAACATAGTCTTCTGTTTCTTGTATACTATATGACTCAATTATCCTTTTTTAATCATTTATAACTTTTGAGAGCGTAAGCACTTTCATTAGAATTAAGCTAAATAACTGTATATTATTTTTTTAAAGAAATTAATTCTTACATATGTTAGCGTTGACAAAATGAAATTCATATCAATGGTACCTACATGCAATGTTTCTAAACTTTTATATTAATATTAATCAAAAGTAATCGACACATAATAAATGACGGTAAAATTATGGCAGTATATTTCCATCCAAAGGTTATCACAAAATCACGTGGCTTAAAACACATTTATTTTTTTCATAAAAGAAGCAACGATATTGTATTCGTCTTCTCACCAGATCAAATTGGCAATGTTAGTGTTAGTTTGCCTTTGTTTGCTGTATTTTAGTACAGTAGACGGGGTAGGCTATGTTGGTGTCAGACCTTCTTCACGTAATAAATGCTATTACGAAAATATCAGGTAGATGCTCGATTCGAATCAACTATAGAAAGGATTTCTGCGTAGTAAGATTTGGATTCATTGGAATGATTTTCTTAAATGTTAAAATCCATTTAGGGAGTCTCGTTTCTAAATAATTTAGAAACCTGAAATATAGACCAATGCTATTCAATACTTTTTTTGATGAATTGTCGTCCGCGTAGCAGATTTCTGGCCAGGTAAGATTAGGATTTTATTGGAATGTATTTTTAAAACAATGTTAATTGATTTAGGGCAACTTGATCAATAAATGGTATATTAGGTAATAAATACTTTCTTTTGAAGAATTGTTGCCACCTGTGAGTGGATAGAGTGTTGCTCTACAGTTGAAGAAAGGAATATGTCCTCACGTTGCGGGTTCGATTGGACTGCTGACTTGTGCAGAACTGTCTTTGCATCAACTGAGAAACCGAATTCCCTAATGCTTCATCTAGGTTTGATGGTTGAGGCGTAGAGATGAAGATTTCCTTCATATTCAGAATGAATATCATAAAGTAGAACAGAATGTGAGAGCTCTAAATATAAAGATTAGAGATGAACAAGATAGATATCTAAAGCTAGATGAGGCCAACAAAGAAATAGCTAAGGAAAGGGATGAGTTCAAGGACAGGTAGGGTCAAAGTTTACAGAGAGTCTGAAAATAATCAAGACAAAATAGTACACCACTTAAATAAAAAAATACATGTATGCTGTTGAGAAGGCAGAATTGGGAAAAGTTGTTTGTCTAGTAATTTATTATGTACCTAATGTGTATCACTCAATTTTACTGTTGATTTTACGCAATCACGTGACATCGTGATCAGACTTTCTGGATCACCACACTGTGGTTCTGGAACTGATGACATAGTACGCAGAAACACGACGTTATTTTTCTTGCTCGTTAAAAGGTCCCTTGTTATTATGGTTTGTTTTATGGATAAATATTATACAATTGATCTCTAAAGTTTTATTTTACTATATTTAGCTAGTTGTAAGGGGTATATAATAAATTTATCATTATAACAGTAACTTGATCCGGAGAGCCGTGTCACGTCTCGTTGACAGGCGCGGATCTTCAGATCAAACTTGACGCTTCGCGTCTCATTAGATCTGATGATCCGCGCCTGTCAACTCTATGTGATACGACCCTTCGGATCAAGTTACTGTTATAATATATATATATATATATTTAACTTTTCAAAACAGCAGCTTAATATTTGGTTACTTGGACAGGTCAAAGCATTTTAGGTCAACATGATACATGTTCCTAAAAGCTAAAAGTAATTAGTTTGAATTACTTTTTCAGTAAATTTTTACCATCTGGGTTCCCAGGCTCCTTGGTTTTCATGAAATTTATCATAGAGTACATGGTTTAAAAAAATAAATTGATCAAAACTAATTAATGAAATATTACCAGTTGTTGAATCATGTGATTGTACAAGAAAATTTGTTGAACTTTAACCTGAAAACAATGGGCTTATTACATGTACATTGTATTTATCCTGGCCAACATATCTAAACTAAAAAAATGTGTAGTTAGGGTTATAACTTCTTTATATTTGACAACAATCTTTTTGATATAGTCATAAAGGTTGGTACATATGTCTAATTATCAAAAGTTCAGGAGTCATCTAGTTTTCTGCTACATTTAGATCACAACTAAACTAGTTTAATAAATATTTTTAAAAATTTCACTTGATATTTATCAAACTCTATCTAAGCTTGACTGTGATAATTATGCCTATGAACCCTAGAAATACATTAATATTACACTACATTAATAGTAATATTAACTACTTGTTTAGATTCAGTAAATTAGCTGGAGCCAAACTGACGGCAGGAAATGCCCGCATTCAGGACCTGAGTGACATCAATCGACCGCAGAAACTGGGAGAGAAATACTCGGAACTCTACGACAATGAGTGGACAGACGCACTGGAGGAAATTCAGGAGAATGAAGATTTAAATGAAAAAGAGGCTGTGATGAAATTACTTGATTTATTTAAAGTAAGCAATCAAGATCTTCTTTCATCTAAATAAAAAGTTGTGGTGATTTTGAATAATGAATAGGTTATACCAAAAAAATTCCAGTCAAATGATAATACCATTAGGCAAAAGTTTTGAATTATTGAAAGAACTAAGAATTGTGCTGGAAAAGCAACATTTATTTTTAAAATTAGTAAGTGTGTCAGTAGTTTCAGTTTTGTTCATACCACTTACAAAAAATAAATGTTCAATTTGACAATTATTTTAGCATTTCATTTTGATTGCAGATTAGGAAATGTCTCGTACTCTCATGACTTTGTTGACACAAACAAAATCTACACAGATACATTTAATTCCTCTGACATTGTTCTGTTTGCTTTTTTCAGTCCTGTGTTTCTTTTTGTCAAATGAGAGCCGAGGAGCAGGAGATGAGATTCATGTCGGCCGTCAGACAGGCTGTCGATCTGAACATGGGAGGGGCGGTGTGTAACGGCTCGGGGGAGGGGCCAGAACAGGTAAGGAATCAGGCAAGTTAATTAATATAGCAGGAGATGAGATTCATGTTGGCCGTCAGACAGGCTCTAGATCTGAACGTGGGAGGGGGGATGTGTAACGGCTCGGGGGAGGGGCCAGATCAGGTAAGGAAGCAGGCAAGTTGTTTTATAGTACTGGTACTAGATATCAGGTTATATACTTACCTCATTCTCAGACTAATGAAAATTGAATAAAATCTAGTATATTTTTCTCCTGTTGCTCTTTTAAATGTCTTGAGAATTTCCAAATATATCTGCATGTGTTTAAGGGGAAAATATATCATTAAACATTATTTATTTATTAGCGCTCTCTTATATTTTAGGAAAGTGATCGACATATTTTATCACCTAGTGATTCCAAAATGCTCAAAGATTTTCTGAAAGCTAAAGGAGGAACTACACTCACATATCTTCAACGGGTAGGTAAAACCAGGGGCCTGTTCAACAGAGCGAATGTTTACGAGCACTTGCCAAAATTCCTTATACTTCCTACAAAAATGGTTGTGAGTTAAACAACTTTTAAACAAGCCTCAGATTTTATGACTGATTCACCCGAACGTTTTAATGCATTTCACAGAAGCATATAACCTTTTATTATTATACTTATACAAACTGAAAAACAAAATGATGCATGGTGTGCAGGAATGTTTATGATTTTGTGATTTACATGCAGGTGTTCCAGACCGAGTATCCTACATATGCAGAATCAGGGCCTAAAGTACAGGAATTCCTAAACCAGAGTATTGAAGTCTGCTGGTTCTCTGCCATACAAGATCCACCATTAGCCTTCGACTGGAATTTTCCAGAGGGCTCGGAAATGATTGATAAATATGTCAAAGTTTTCACTAAATCGGGAAGTAAAATTGACTTTGTTGTTTGGCCCGTTATGAAGTTACATGTTGATGGGGATGTCCTTTGTAAGGGAGTTATACAGCCCATCCCTGAAGGAAAGACAAAGAAAAAGAAAAAAGATTCAGAATCTTAATTACAGGAATAATGTAGTTAGTCTGATTTGTATTTTGAGGTTAAAAATGTTTTTTTACAATGTTAAAGAATATATAGTTTTAAATGGCTTATTATTTTTGTTCATGTTTTTAAATTTGTATCCTGTTGCTATTGCAGTTTTTTGGTTAGAATATAGTTGAGGCTAGGGTTGTCATTGCTGAAACAATTTTTTCTTCTGTTTATTGATTCATAAAAGTATGGATTTATGAAATAAAACAGTAAGAAATACATCAATATTCAAAAAAAAAAAAATTATTGATATTGTATAGGAGCAATTTAAAACCATGGTACATTTACATCAATATCAAATCTATCATTGGCAGCTCTAGTTGAGACTTTAAATTCTTTCACTCAAAATTGTATGATGTTTCATAACATGAAGTGTATTTGTTTCATTGACATAAATGAGGTCTTTTGAATATGCAGGACATTTTGAGGTGTGTCTTTTGATCAGCATCACATTTTTGTGCGAATGAGTGCTCAGAATTTATTTCAGATGTACTAGGTCTTTTACAATGGAATGGATCAGTGTAATGTTTTGTTTTAATTTTCAAATGGTAGCATCTTAATTCCCATTGATGATTTATTTATATTTTTGTTTCTTATTAGTTCCTTTGAATGGAAGATTCAAATTAGAAAATTTCTGAGTACCTGTCTTCTGATGTCTGTTTGTCTGTCTTTGCAAATGTTAACTTCTAACATTTTTCAATTTCTTCTCCAGAACCAATTGAACCAATTTCAAACAAAAGTTGCTACTCAGCATCCTAGGGTAAAGGGAATTTCAATTTATTCGAATGAAGAGCCTCATTCTTCTGAGTGGGGAAATAATCAAGCAGCAAAATACTAGTAGGTCATTGTCCTAAGAAATCTGAAAATGTGTTGGAAAAGATAGATTCATGTCAAAACTCCATGACATTGTGTAATTTCAAATCTGCCCAAATCATGACCTGCAAAGGAACAATATAACAAAGGAATGAAAAATACAGTAAAACTCGGTTATAGCGAAGTCCTGGGAACCTGTGAATTTAATTCGCTATATCCGTAATTCGTTATATCCGTATAACGAATTCGTATAACCATTATAGAGAATTCGCAATATGCATGTTTTCCTTAAGATATTACTACCAAATATGTTCGGGAAGCAAATATTACAAAACATATCTTCGATAACTATGGTTTTATTATGAATTCAATTTTATATACAAATGCTAAACGGAAATAATGTCAGTTCAATTTATCAAACTTTTTATAATCTTTGAAAGTTCGTTATAAAAGATGTAAATTTCATTATATTTATCCCAACGGGACTCAAAATCAGTTCGCTATATCCGTAAATTCGTTATATCAGAGTTCGTTATAACCGTAAAATTTTACAAAGATTTGTTCAGAATTTTGCCGGGGAACCAGAAAAACTTCGCTATATCTGTGAATTCGCTATATCCGTGTTCATACTAAACGAGTTTTACTGTATATCAGGAAAATCTCCTCACGAACAGCAGGATTATCAAGTATCACCAAGCAGTGCATTTTCAATTTTGCTCCAAGCATGATACCTGGGGATAGAGTAAAGCAGATTTTACATAGGAATATATAAAGGGAAAAAATCACTTCAAATATTCGACTTTGGGTTAGGATGGGATACAATTAGGGATCATTTTGAATAATACATGTACTATTTAATTAAACAGGTCAAGGTAAAAAATAATCACATAACATCAAGACTATATAAGTAGTGTTGAATTGAAGCATTTCATCTATGATTCAAGTTCATTTAATCAAAAAATGATAATAGGGTCATAATTTTTCATGAGGATAGAAAGAGGAAGAATAAAAAAATCTGGAACACAACAGGGCTGAATCATCTCAGGTGAGCATTATTTTTGGCAGATGTTTGTTTTTTCTTTTTCCTTAAATTTCTTTTGTATGTTTTCATTTTGTTCTTGACTGTGGTTTTTGTGTCATCGAGTACATGTATTAAAAGAGTATGTTATGTACTGCCAAAATGTTCTTGCTTCATTTTGCATTTGTTTTTGTTTATGGTTGAGAGGGAGAGAGAGAGAGGGAGAGAGATTTTTCAAATTGTTTTATTTATTAAAAATAGTCCCCTTCTTGACCAATGAGAAAAAAATTCAGCAGCTACTACTAGTATTTGTTTGTATGTATAGAGAAATTTTGAAGATTAATTGTTTTATCTTCTACTTGAGAATTATTAACTTTGAACTTTTTGTATGTGCAATGGATGTTTTCTCTAAAGTTTTGGTTGCTCATTTGAAGTGAGAGTATTATGCAATTAATCTAAATTGTGGAAGAAATTCACAAAAAAATATACCCCATGAACTGCATTTTTAAAATCAAAATAATTGTACAGATATGAATGAGCAATGAGCATAATTTTCATAAACAAATTCTTGTTAATTTTTTTAAACAAAATGTCAAAGTGATTTAGATATATATTTTTATAAAAAATAAATAAATATTGGAAGTTTTTTTAAATATAATTTTGAAATATTGTTTATATGTATATATACATTTTATTAAAAAAACAACAAAACATTCCAATATATTTGTGGTTTTGTCATTCTTTGATGGTTTGTGGTTTGTGATGCATTTAATGATAAATTAGGCCTCCTTTAAAATAATGTTTACTTGCCGTCTCCTGACTCCGGTTTAACTGCATGTATTTGAGTTGGTAGGTAAATGAAAAAATATTTTTTTGAGAAAATTTCAAAATTTTTGTTAAGGGTAAAAAAGGTTGTATCCTGGATGTAAAAAAAGTTTTGAGTCAGGCCATTTTTAATCAGTCAGTTGGGATAGGGCAATCAAACAGATTTGCCTTATATGATGGTTTTATTGAAATTAAAATCCAAATGAAGTTTAAAAATACCCTGGTATATCTGAATGACTCTGCTCATCTTTTTAATATGTGTCCAATAATATATCTGTCCACTCTGCTACATGTAATCTGCCAGACTTTAACTTGGTATTAATGATAAACATAACAAGTCCCAGCTTGGTTCTCATGGCCTCTTAGATGACAGGATGTCCTCGAATCAAGGTCATTAGAACAAGGTCAAGGTAACAGCCCAGAAGTAAAACTTTTATTAAGATGTGTTTGTGAAACACTGATGCCCCCATTTGGCAGCTAACTTATTGCATAGGTTGAAGTTTTTCAAATACTTGCAAGTGAAACTCCAAGATCATGGTCTAAAGATCAAAATTGTGGGTATCAGGAGGAAGGTATTTTCATAAAGAAAGCATGTATAGTGAAGTATAAAAGGCCTAGCATCAACTGTTCAAAAGTTATGGCCAAGATTAAAGTTTTTTTTGTTTTGAAGTTAACATATTTTTTTTTTTTGGTTGTAAAATGGAGTCAAACTCCAATTAAGGTCAAGTGGTCATATTTGGTGGAAAATGTACCCATACAAAGAAAGGTCTTGTCACAAGGAATACGCCTGTGAAATGTACTAAAAATGACCAATGACACGAACAAGAAATCCTTAGATTCAATTACTCTTCTTTATATATTGCTACGTTAAAAAATGACCGTAATTTTATTGTTATATTCTATATATCATCATGATTCATAGACCTATAAACTTGCAATATCTATCTGAATGGCAAATAAAGAAAAAAATCTTTGATATATTTTTACTGTTTGTCGCACTATAGTACAACTAAAGAAATGAACTGGATTGAAAGCAGCTAGATTCCCGATATTTTGCTGGGGAAAATTATGAGGCCCATGAGTAAATCGTCCATCTTTATTTATCATAATTAATATATACACGTAAAAATAATTATGCAAACAATTGTGAACATCTCAGTTTATACTATTTTTCAAACGTCATAAGTATAACATCAAGAAAAAAAAACGTTTGATTAAAATACATTACAGTACAGCAGGCATGTTCATGAAACTTTCCTAAGATTTGTCCTATGACCATTCCTAAGATATGACTTAGGAAGAAACTTAGGAACATCCTAAGATCAACATAGGACATATCATAAGATTTATCTCGACAGTGACTTAGGAACATCTTAAGTTAGGACATCCTAACTTACAATGAACATTTGTTTCTTTAACATTTATCGATAAATATATAATTTTGGAGACATTTTACGGGAATAAAATACTCGTAACGTTAAAAAGGAAATCCATTAACATCTCCATCATGTGATCTCAGTATATTTTGATGTTTGTATTTTTTGATATTATAAAATATTTAATACCACTTGTAAATCGTATTGAAACAAACAAATTGTAGTTAAGATTTATAGTTAAATAATCATAACCTCTTAGTGATCTACATAGATGAATTTTTATAAAAGTTTACTTCACTTTTTTATTCATAAGCGGATTCAAAATAAAATGAATTTTGTAGGACACGAAAAAAGTTTTCAAATAGGGAAATCACTAGTTTTAAGCCAATATTTTATTCTTGAATATTAAAACTCTCAATAGTTCAAATATTTGAATGACAAGTTTTTTTTTTATTTTGTATGTTACCCTAACCGGTTAGTTAAAAAATAAGAACATTTCAATAGTTTCAGTGTCTCATAATAGCACGTAATATGCTAGAAGATTGAGAGGAGGGGTGGTGGTTTGGCCCCTCCTTATTTTCCGAAGACAAGTTTATTACTATTCATCTATGATGGAAGTTTTGATAAATGACGAATATGTATATCGCAAAAAAGTCATGTTAGCATGATCATAAGTTCTACTGTATCAGTATCTATAGACCTATCATTGGCATATGAAGGAAGGGGTATTTGTTTCTATATTCGTGCAATGTATTATGACATTTGAAACATAAGAAAGGGTGGGGTGGCGGTCATAATACAACGTATGTGATGAATGCATTTGACAGTGACATAACAACGGTCATGAAATGGGCGGGGGTGAGAAAAAAAAATCAACTTTGCTGAGAAAACTATACAATAAAAAAAAGGTGGAAAAAATATTGTCCAAACTCGAAAATCCTATTTGAGAGAGAGAGAGAGAGAGAGAGAGAGTCTAGGTTTCAAATTCTTTCATAATCTTTTATTCATTTAAACAATTCCCTCATTATGATAACCTTGTTTGACTCCATTTACTTTGTATTGGATACGCAATGAGCAGATCGACTGATAATAAAAG